TATCCAAAACACCAGCCACATTCGCAGCGTCACTCTCTGGGATAAACACAGGGAAAAAATCTTGATGTCATCATAGTCATCCATGAGCTGCTCGTCGGTGAGCACACTCGTATCTCCAAGATCCATACCTGGAAAAGTACCCACACACATAAACTCGGACGCCGAGGAAGGTACTACGTCGGCAAAGCCGGCGGGCGGGACGCTATCACTCGCAGGTACTACACTCGTGGGACCAGTGGGCGGGATGCTATCAGCCGAAGGTACTACGCTAGCTGAGCCAGCGGGAGGAGTAAGCAACACGGACACCGATGATCGCGCGGAGCCCCCCTTTTGGGAAGGGGAACGCGCGGAGCCAACGGCGGGGGGGGAATCGGGGGCACTCGCGAATGCGGGCAAAGCAGCAGGGTCTACTACAGTCGCAGATGGGTCGTACGGCAAACGCATGGCATACGCTGCAGACGCTTTTTCCTCCCTACNTCGGACGCCGAGGAAGGTACTACGTCGGCAAAGCCGGCGGGCGGGACGCTATCACTCGCAGGTACTACACTCGTGGGACCAGTGGGCGGGATGCTATCAGCCGAAGGTACTACGCTAGCTGAGCCAGCGGGAGGAGTAAGCAACACGGACACCGATGATCGCGCGGAGCCCCCCTTTTGGGAAGGGGAACGCGCGGAGCCAACGGCGGGGGGGGAATCGGGGGCACTCGCGAATGCGGGCAAAGCAGCAGGGTCTACTACAGTCGCAGATGGGTCGTACGGCAAACGCATGGCATACGCTGCAGACGCTTTTTCCTCCCTAGCAAAGAGCAGTCCATTTTGTAGGGTTGCACCACGTTCGTCGTAGAGGATTGGTTGCTTCAGAGAAACAGCATGCGTTGAGAACAAGTTGAAACTCAGGCTCTCTACAACAGAAACGTCAGTAAGCTTCACACACATCGTTGTTTTCCTACCATTCTCATCCTCCTGAAAGAAACTAAGGTTAATGCTACCGATGGCTTGCACTTCTAGCGGTCGACTATCACCTACAACGACATACTCCCTGCTGGCGGGGATCTCTTGCAGGTCATACATGTGCAGGCTGCTGTTGGTGAAACTGTTGCTGGCTCCTGAGTCAGCTACCCATCTCTCGCTACCAGGCGGCCCCTCACTAGATTTCACACTCAGCAAAGACGAAGCAGACGCAGCAGACTCTACTCCAATCGTCACTCCCATCCTACTGAAAAAATCTTCAGGGTGAGACTTGCCTATGGGCATCGATTGTGCCGTGCACAGGTGGAGGTAGCCCGAAGATGGAGGCGCGCCAGGAGAAGGAGTAGAGGACGAGGAGGAAGCGGTGGTGCTGCTGCTCGCGGGGGGGCCTGACGTGGCTGCTCGAATGACAAATCTTCGCCGGCAGGAGGGTAGTACACGTAGTGGAGGCCGCCATCAGATGAACGGCTGTCTTTGTACCCTGAGGAGTAGCTGCNTACTGAAAAAATCTTCAGGGTGAGACTTGCCTATGGGCATCGATTGTGCCGTGCACAGGTGGAGGTAGCCCGAAGATGGAGGCGCGCCAGGAGAAGGAGTAGAGGACGAGGAGGAAGCGGTGGTGCTGCTGCTCGCGGGGGGGCCTGACGTGGCTGCTCGAATGACAAATCTTCGCCGGCAGGAGGGTAGTACACGTAGTGGAGGCCGCCATCAGATGAACGGCTGTCTTTGTACCCTGAGGAGTAGCTGCAGCTGTCCCCACCGCCGGCGTAGTGGGCGTACCCGGCGTCGTGGTAGCCGTCTTCGTAGTGGTAGCCGTCGTCGTAGTCGCCGTAGTCTTCGTAGTAGCCTCCATCATCGTGGGCGTAGTACACAACGTACGCTTGCTCTCTTCCGTGGCCAGAACGCGCGTGCCCCGGGCCTCCCTCTATCCGTTCCCTCTCGGCACGCCCGTCGCTGCTGTGGCGTCCCGCGGGCCCACGACTCCCCGGGTGACGCCCCAGACGACCACCAGGCCCACGTTCACGAAGGGGTCTCGGGGGGGATGAAGCTTGGCTCCAGCCACCGCCACCGTGACCGGTGTGGTGCTGCTGCCCTTCTATGCTCGGACTGCATGAAGGCGAAGGGCAAGAGGGCGTTGGTGCCGAAGGGGCCGGGAGCGCGGGTGTGTTCACCTGGACCTGTGTGGACCGCTGGTGCCATCCCCGGGCGGCAACCTCTACCTGTTCGTCGCGCTCGACAGCGCCTCGCGGTGGAACAAGGTCTACGGTCTCCGGCGGATATCCGACGCGCTGGCGGCAACGAAAAGGCTGCTGGCGGACGTGGGGCGGTACGACCTCGGGCGCATCGAGTGCTTCCGGATCGACAACGGCACCGAGTGGACCCGGGGCGAGTTTCGGCGTTTCTGCGACGACAACGGCATCGGTGTCGAGTTCACCCCGCCTGGCGTCCCGCAGTACAACGGCGTCGTCGAGAGCGCCATCTGGCGCATCATGAAGGCCGGCATGGCCGCTCGCCGCAGCGCTGGCCGTATGCTCAACGTCGACTACGCCTCCATCACCGGTCTCGACCCGCGCGGTGACCGTCTTTGGTTGGAATCTGCGAAATGGGCCGCCGACGCTCTCAACCAGTCGGCGACCTAGGCTAACCCCGGGCGGCGCTCGCCGCACGAGACGTTCACCGGCGAGCAGGGACCGTTCCGCGTGCTGCCGTTCTTCCAGCCCGTCTTCATGCGTGAGGATCGCCGCACCAAGCTCGACGACCAGGCCACCCTCTGCTACTACCTGAACGGCGGCGACAACCACCCGAGCGGCACCGTCAAGGTCCTCAAGGCGTCCACCGGCCGCGTCGTCTACACCAACAACGTGTCGTGGATGACGTCGGCGCTAGCCGGCGAGGGGGGTTCCGCTGGTATCCCCGCTGCGCCGACGCCTCCTCCGTTCACGCCGGTCGTCTCGATCAACTTCGGCCCAGCCCCGACACAATCGACCGCCGCACCGCCGCCGCCAGCGCCTACGCCCACGCCGTCGCCCGCACCCGCTCCTGGCCAGCCGCCCTCTGCCGCAACGCCGTCATCGTCGGCGACCCCCGCTCCTGGGCAGACTCCCTCTGCGGCATCGCCGTCACCGTCGGCGACCCCCGCTCCTGGCCAGACTCCTTCTGCCGCATCGCCGTCACCGTCGGCGACCCCATTTCCAGTTCAGCTACCGCCGTTGCCGCCGCCGCCGCCGCCGGGCCCCGCGTTGCCCCCGCTCTCGGCTCACGCCATGCGGCAGCTTCGCCCGGGCAAGAAGGCCGGGGGTATGAAGGACCCGCGGCTGCCAGGCCGCACGAGATCGGGCACGAGGCACAGCACAGGGCTCATTTCGATGATGGACAAGAACACTCTGGTATCGATGCTGGAGGCCCAGAGCGCGGTGGAGGAGGAGCGCAGGGAGCCGGGGGGAGCGGGGACAGGAGAGCCGGGGGGAGCGGAGGCCGGAGAGCAGGGGGGAGCGCTCGCAGCCGTGGACCCGGGGGCTGGAGGAGCGGGCTTACCACTTGCATATGCCACGCTCCTCGCCAACCGGGAAGACATCGACGCCATGCTGCGCGACCAGCGCCCACCGGAGCAACGCCCTGGTCTCCCGCACTGCCAGGCGAGCGACCTTCGCATCCCCAAGAGCTACAACAAGGCTATGGCGTCGGAGCACCGGCACCTCTGGGGCGACTCGATGAAAAGGGAGTTTTTCGAGTTGCCGGAAGCGGGGACTGTTACTCCGGCGAAGTAGCAATCAGTGCATAACGCGATAAACGCGAGTAGATATTCAATTGGAAGGCAGATGAGTTTGGATGGCCCACAAAGGTCAAGGCGAGACTTGTAGCGAGAAGTGACATGCAGATAGAGTACATTGACTTTGGAGAGTTGTACGCGCCTACCGTTTCTGTTTCGTGTGTCAGGATGTTGGCAGCGGTGGCGTGTGAGTTGAACCTCGACGTGTGTCATTTTGATATTGAGCAAGCTTTTGTGCGTTCGGAGTTGGAAGAAGACGAATACATGCGATTGCCGCAGGGATGTGGAGCTCTATCTGGAATGATTGTAAAACTAGGCAAGAGTCTGTATCGCTTGAGACAGACATCTACGCAGTGGCATGCAATGCTGAAGAGGTGTTGGGTTGCGTTGGGATTGAAGCAGTGCATGGCCGATGCTTGTGTGTTTCGATTGATTGAAGGCGGGTGTGTGGTTTTGATTTTGGTAGTACATGTAGATGATATTTTTTGCTGTGGGAGAGAGGGAGAGATGTGACAAGTTTGGCGCCGACCTTAACAAGTCCGTGCCGGTGAAGAACCTGGGAGAGTTGAGATGGTACTCTGGATGCTTTGACGAGAGAAGCAAGGAAACTGGTAGGCTGACGACTTCTCAGCAGACTTTCACGGATGAGCTAGCAGCAGAATATGGAGTAGCAGGGGGTAAGAGCGTTCCCATGTCTCCGGGGGTGGAGCTTTCTGACGTTGATGCGGATGAAGAGGCGACAGATTTCCGTTTCGTGAGCTAGTAGGATCTTCGATGTGGCTGGCGACTAAGACTAGGCCATACATTGCGAATGAAGTAAGGGCAATAGCTAGATATTGCGCGTCTCCAAAGCAGGTGCACTGGGATGCCGCGATGGGTATATTTGGCAATGCGAAGAGGACGAGTTACATGGGTGTTTCATTTCAGAGAGGTACGGTAGAAGGATTCAGCTTGCAGCGGTACGCTGATGCGGACTTTGTAAGCAAGGCAGCAGACCGTACGTCGGTATCAGGGGGGATAGTGACATGCGGAGGAGGCGCTTTGTCTTGGTTTTCAAGAACGCAGAAGTGCGTTACGCTTTCGACAACAGAAGCAGAGTATGTCGCGCTTGGCGATGTAGTGAACGAGATTTTGAGGCAGGTTTGGCGATTTATGTTGCCGAAAGTCAGCATGCCTTGCATCCCAGTCTTCGAGGACAACCAGGGGGCGATTCAACTAGCGCAGAACCCCATCTCGAACTCGATCTCGAAGCACATTGATGTAAGGCACCATTTTCTCAGGAAGTTGGTAGGAGATTTCGGTGAGCCACGTGCCGTCTCCGTACCAGCGTGCAGACTTTCTTGCGAAGAGTTTGCCCAAGGATGCGTTCGAGTCTCACCGTGATTTTGTGATGAATTTGCCATGAGTTTTTCATATTTTTCTGATGAGTTTGGTTTGGCTTTCGATTTGATTGTTTTCCTTTCTGCGCTAAGTTTATATCACGCGCGATGTAGCAGTATTCATGTTTCTTGGACTTGGTTTTCGTGTCATATATTGTGGAAGCAATCTTGATAGCATATATTCAGGAAAGGACGTCTTTTGGTTGAGATATCCGGTGCTATTTCGAAATTTGCAGTGAAGATGCTGTTGGGAGAAAGGGGGATGCTAGATATACTCGCTGCAGTCTCTAGGCGTGAGGATCCTGGGGGATACGTGTTGGGAATTTCGAATGTTGATGGGTACCACCGATGCAGATACGGGGACCCTTTTGGCCTTGATTGCGGTGTTGAAGGCTCGCGCATGTAGCGCACTGCTTTCGCTCTCTCCACCGCTACCGCCGTCTCTCTCCAATCAAGTTTCCTTCTCCAACGCTTTCTCCTACGCCAACGCCATCTCTATCTCTACCTCTTTCTCTCGGCGTAATACGGCCGACTACCCGCTGCCCCAAGAGACGCCCAACACGGGCTTGCTGCACCTCGCGTAGTTCATCTTTCAGATGGGGTAGGTTTTGAGAGCGCTTCCGCCTCGGCATGACACCCTTGGCGCTTTATGCTATACAGTTGTTGTTGAACCGACAACGAGACTGTAGAACCGAACAAATCAATTTGTGTCGAACACTTGACAGCCTTCCCCGCGCATGGTACACTGGAGAAACCTCGTTCGGTTTTACCACCCCCACCTCCCCGGTGTTTGCCATCGGGGTTGGGTTTTCGTCGCTTGGCAACGACGTTGTAAAACAAGCCGCCCCCCCCGGTGTTGCCATCGGGATTGGGTTTTCGTCGCTTGGCAACGACGTTGTAAACAAGTCAATTCACTTCGTGAACTCGACAACCAGGATACCGTTTTTTTTTTTACCTCCGGTTTTGTTTTGGCGGTAACCATAATGGTGGTCGAGTAGATCATGTTGTGCGGGGTGGAGAACCCTCACTCCGCGCAAGGGGGATGATCGCACCACGTTGTGTTAAAATGGTCAAGCACCCTCGAGGCAGTTACACAGTGCTTACAACTGTCTCTGGAAGTGAAAGCACCAGAAAATAAATTAAGTCATACGCAGCTGTCATCCGTACGCAAGGAAGTAAGCACAAGATGCCGAAAACCCTTAGCAGGATGCAGCGCACCCTTCATGCGACTCGCCGAATATCTCACGGCGCTTCGCGCTTGGTGATGTGAGAGCCTGGTCCGGTGAGAACCCGGCGTGCTCCGTCCCGGCTTTGTAGGGATGCGAGGTCAATCGTCTAACGACAACGGCATGCACGACTATGAGTACACCCCCCCCACACACCCCTACCTTCGGTGTTTGCCATCGGGACTGTGTTTCGTCGCTTGGCAACGACGTTGTAAACATGCCAATTCACTTCGTGAACTCGGCAACCAGGTTACCGTTTTCCTATGTTTTTTTTTTGGCGGTAACCACGATGGTGGTCGAGTAGATCATGTTGTGCGGGGTGCAAAACCCTCACACCGCGCAAGGGGGATGATCGCACCACCTTGTGTTAAAATGGTCAAGCAC